TTTACTAGGTGGCCCTCCAACATTTCACTAGGAACAGTAGGAAAGTTTATGCGTACGTTGGTTCATCACCTCTATCGAGAGTTTGTCAACCTTCCACTCCGTCAGCTTTTTAGCAGAGGGCTGGTCGTTACTAGCGAGACACAAGGGGAATAAGTACCAGTAAAGTAACATCCCGTGACATAGGCATCGGTAAAGGCTGACCATTCGGGCATAAGGATAGTGCCGAAGTGCTCATGTTTATGGATTGCTGCATGCTTTGAACTGCATCAGGCGGAGCAATTGTTAAAGCAATTCCGGGTTTGCTGGCAAGTTGTTAGCTAGATCCTCGCATTGCAACATGAATTGCAGGGTTCGTGTCCAGCTCAAAACGAACGAGCAATCCGACAACCCAGAGACGTTCAAAGTGGCAGCAGCCAATCAGGACGCAACATTTTCCCCTCACCGCCCTGCGGTGGCGACGATGACAACAGAACACGTGCAGTTGAACTTGAATTTGGTATGAAATTGATCGTTCTTGAGACAAAATTTCTTCAGAGGGATGAGTTAGTATTCTTAATGCCATTTAAAGATCTAAAACTGCGTTATCATTATGTAACTGTGCATCTAAACAATGCAAAAAAATTACATGACTAATGATGATGATAATGGCAAAACATAGCATTGTGAGTTACTGAAACAAGGGTTATCACGAAGATTGGTGATGCATACTTGCTAAAACAAAATGGAGACATGGGACATACACAAAAATGGGGACAAGACAACATCTCAAACGCAACTTTTGTGTGTTCAGTGACTCCGGGTTTTTTTTTTAGTAATTATGCAATTTGAGCTTTTGCGGTTGCTGTGTGTGATTGTGGTGAGCCCGTGTTGCTGGTGTTGTGAAGTCACGATGCTGGGAAAAACTGCCGCATTCGAGGTGGGCATAAAAGGGTAGTGCAACGATTTTAATGTTGAAAGAATTTGCAGTTTGTATTTTTTATATTGTTTACCTAGGCACAAGTGACAAAAAATGTGTTATCTTGCCTCGAAAATTCCGCCGCGTAATCGCAAAGGAAAAAATGAATTATTTGCCAAACTGCAGCCGCGTGTGGCGGTTACGAGAACTATGATAATTCGTAATTGGGAGACACGCGGAAATCAACAAAGCCTGTCCCCCCCCCACCCCGCCACTACACTTGTCATCAGCCCCATGGCAAACTGCCTTTTGTGTCGATCGCTTGCCGCGACCTTCGACGATGCCAATCCTTGAAAAGTCTACAGTCGCCGAGAAAGTGGCTTGGGTCTCTGAAGGAAGAGTCCAACAGGAAACCAGGTGGCCCCCAGAGTATGCCACTCAAAAGACGACGGGAGAATTGAGAAGAACTTTAACCTTTGATTTGTTTAATTTTTCAAACAAAAACTAGCGCGTGCAAGAAAATACGGTTTTCTGTTCCTCGTTCTATAGGTGACACAGATTAATCCCCGCAGTTAATCGGCCACAGTCCGAAAATCGTTGCATTGCCTATTTAACAAATCGGAACAATCTAAATTAAGGGTCGGCAACCTTCTGCTGCAGCGGGCCAAATCGCTGCAAAAGTGGAGATGGAGCGGGCCGGACGGGGAAATGGGGGAGGGGAGGCCAGCCTATTCACTCTTTCTTGTGCAAGCAGGGACGCAGTGGCGCCAGTGTGCGAATAGCCCCCAGCTACTTCTGGTTCTGAACTACACTCTGTTTCACAATAGCTTGGCGAACTGCGAAGGCTGCGGCCTCCGTGACCCAATAATGGCACTGGGGGAAAGCACGTGACAACTTCCCATGGTCGAGGCCACCGGGGCCTCATTACCACTAAAGTCACTGGATCCTGGGAAAGTAGCGCCGTTGCCTTCCCTACCTGCTAGCCGGGCACGAACGGATACTAACATACACACGACCCAAACCTCGCAAGGCGATTGGCTAATTGGTCTAGGTTGCCATGGAAATCGCCATCTTGGTCCACTTAAATCTTCGAAGCCTCCAGGGGGTCGTTCTAAACCAGTCGCGCCAAGATTACCATGGAGCATCATCGTACTGGAAGCGTTCCCCATTAATTTAAGAGTCTTTGGCACTTCATATGCGATCAACTTATTAATCATGCATATCTCCATGGATCTCTTACTATTGTATTGTTCATCTTGCGTATTTCAAGACAGTAAACTTATTTTTCAGTGCCTCCAAGCACCGACACATCATCTGGTGGTGGTACAAATATGTGCGCTTGTTTCACCGGTGTGTGGATAGCAAACTCTCGGTATACAATAAACGCTTCCATAAAGCTACCCGTCACCAGCGAATTTAGATCGGCTCACCAAGAACGAAGTGGTCAAAGAGAAATTGCTCATTTCACGGACCAAGATGGCGACCACACGGGGAGCTTGGCGTTACTTTCCCAGGATCCAGTGACTTTAATTACCGCCACAACAACAAAGCCCTCTGCGACAAAAAATAGTTTGAGGCTTCTTCCTCTTTTAACGGCAATCAAACTCGCACGATTCTATCTATAATGAGAAGATATTAAGAATAAAGGATAAATAATCACAAATTTATGATTTTCAATTATATTTAAACCAAAAAAGTGATGCAACATCCGTATCCACTCGATTTTTTTCGCCTTGTAGCACCGTGGCCGTTGGCAATCGCCGGCGATTGCAGCCGTGTAATCTGCCGTTTCCACTCAAAAACATTGCACTGTGCCCCGGCATTAGTACCCGTCACAGATTCGCGGCTAAATGGAGCGTATGGTTGTCTCAGGAACTGTTCCCGAATTGCTCGCTATTCTAGTCGACGGATATGTTGTTGCAGTGGATGCTCATCTGAAATTGGTTGATTTCGGAGCAGACGACTCTTGGCTAGCAGACAACAGTCAGTTCCTCCGACCTCACACCTCGCATTTGGCATGGTGACACAAATGCTTCTCTGATGTCGGGTCACGTGCCACGCTTTGACGCTCTTATTGGGTTGCGGAGCCTTTGCCCCCACAGTTCGCCCGGTTATCGTGAAACGGAGTATAGACGGCGGGTTTGGCGGTATTTGCAAAACCAAATATACACGCCATCTTTTGGAAATGGCCACTTATAGCAGTGTCAGACTTAATTCACTCTTATGATAAAATAATGAGGAGCAAAAAATGAGGAAACATGCGTGAACCGGAAGCGTGCCGGGGCTACCCAATAGATGGTGCCACTGGGTTTGTTGCCAAGGAAAAAAGGGCAAATAGAAGTAAAATATAACAAAACTGTCACGTATCGAAACTGGCATGCAAAGATGTTTTGTTTTTTTATCAGGAACATGTAAAGTAGTATTAGTTGAGCCCCGTCTCCGTAAAATTTTGGGTGTCCAATATTGCTTGCCAAGATGTTGTAAAACATTTTGGAGGCGCCCATCTTTTATTCACAAGATCCACGTTTGACTCTACGGTTTTCAACTTTGAAAAAGTATATTCGTAGATATATACATGATATATACATGCTGTAGCAAACTCTTCGATCAAGGCTGCTACGAGATTGAACTACCTTGAAACTTCAGAAGCCCGATCCGGCCCGTGCGCCATAGGTTGCCGAACCCTGATCTAAACCATACCCGTAAATTCCTCATTGCACCTGCTACATGATGTGTCAACTTGACGCACAACTTCAGATGAGACAACCGGCGTTCTAGCTAGAGTATCTGGCCAAGGCGGAACATGCGAATTGCGGTAACCTAGTTCATAGTGTAGAACTGTGTGTATACCTATTATTTTGGAAGTAACTGGCGCCGCCTGGCAGAAAACAGTGTTCAAGGGTGAAATGGCTCGTGCACTAGGATGGACAGGGAGAAGCGTCTTAGAAAGAACCTGGGGGCAAAAAGAGGATGAAGATAATAATAATAACAATATTACTAGCTACATATATTTATTTCTATTTTGCACAGCTTTATTTACCCATTCAGACAGCCACAGTAGGCACTAAACAGACTTTGGGGGACCACAGCCTAGGTCGCTGCAGTTCAATGGGGCCAGAAGCCCATAGCTTCCTTGGTCGAGGGTGTGCCAGCGTTCGCTTGTGCACGTGCTCATCTATTTTCATACCAGAGCCTCCTGAAACGGCGATTTCTGAAACTGGTTCATGGCCAGGTGCGTGTAGTGCGTATTTTGATGCGTGTAACTGGGTGAACCTGGCACGCAAGAACTCGCGCTAGCTGTTTCTCGACGTGACTACTATCCTCCTCCTACTACTACTACCACTACTACTACTACTAGTAATAATAATAATAATAATAATAATAATAATAATAATAATAATATGAATATTCTTTCCGGTTCGAGAAGCCGCAAAGCCCCAGCAAGGCCGTTGGCCCATACCACGGAGGCCTGCGGCGCGCGCTTAATAAAGCCAGTATCTATAAACTTAAAGCCAAGTCTTCAGTTCATTTGCGTGTGCCCAAATATTGGGTAGCGTTGAGAGTCAGAAGCCGTCGGGTAGCTTCGTTCAACGACGAGGGGAAATCAAACACGTCGACCACCGGTACCTTTCTTGACACAGGGCGGCACAGCTCACAAGAATCACAAGTGATGAACGATGCGACACAACAGACTGCCCCCATTCTCACGGTAAAAGTTGGCTTTGGACGATGGACACAGGATGCCATGGCCGTGGCCACTGAAGGCGCACAAACGCACCGTGCATGACTGACACGAGGAATTTGAGAAAAGTACGGGCAAAACAAGCGAACAAACTGGAACAAACGAAAGCCTACCGCCATATCGAAAATTCGGCCGTTTTCTTTACGCATCATGTTCGTAAGCACACGACGAGCGTTTAATTTTAAAGTTTTAAAATTTAAGTTTAATTTAAATTAAAAAGTGATTACAATTAAACCTTTTCACAATATATACTAACATTCTGTACTGTGGTGTGTTAATAACATAACCGAAAAAGACGTCATTTTTTTTTTTTTTCAGCCAATCAGCGTTTTCAGTTTTCTGTCTATAAAAAATATAAAAAAACGTTTGTCTGTGGGCAATTTGAAACCTGTGATTCGATCGTTCCGTGGTACCGTGGTTCAGTCAGTTCAATGACAGTTTGCCATTCCGATTTAATAATAATAATATAATATTATAATTTTATTTACACTTCCAAGGGCACAGGTGGTGGTGTGCGAGGCTGAACAGTTAGGTGAGATCCTACGCGGAGCGCATGTCAGTCGTGATGGGCAGCGTACCAGACGGCATCTCGTACGAGGTATTTCAAGAATTCAAGAGGGTAAGCTGCGTTCTTCACTTCTACGTTCTTGCAAGACGGTTATTGGTTCTTTCTACGTACTGGTTTCTCGGAAGGCTGTGTCTAGAGTGCGGTGCATCCGAAAGAAAGTCGGGCGGCACATGTATCATGGGGCGAGTTAACCGACCTCCCCGCCTGCGGGCCTGCGTTCACGACAACAACCCGAGCTCCGCTGTTCCCCGTTGCACCTCCAAAATTCAGCAAAGGCTACGCTACAGCTTCGAGAAACTCGTTTTGGCAATTCGTTTTATACGGGACTTTCGGGCGGCACTTGAATGCTCTGCAAGAGTGCCGTCGGACTGCACTCTAGACACTACGTTCTTTCGAACTACGACCCTACAACTTCTGTTCTTTCGAACTAATTAACTCGGCGAACCGAGCGTTTGACTGCGTTGCGGCTGCGGCTGTCGCGTGCCAAGCTGTTCCTTGAATTGGATTCCACGTTTCATACGAAGCACAGATGCGCCGGTGACTCGCTTTCATTTCTCGACGCAACGCAGTCAGACGCAACTGTGCGTAGGAGCCTTTAACATACCCGGCTCACCCGTTCACGCCGCTTCGCGGCGACAGTCTGCGGCGGCTCATCACAAAAATGTTAACTCACCTGGGCCACCCGTACGCAGAGGAGGCTCCCCCTTAGGACAGGCCAGCGAGATTAATACATCCCTGCCGTGTGATCCTGCCAGTGACAATGCTACTATGCAGGCAAAAGCTGTGGGAGAGGAGACAAGAGTGCGCGGGGCCGTCAGAAAACCGAGCTCCAGTTAGAATGATTAGTAGGTAGGCGCTAGGCTAACTCCTTTTGTCTCCACTGCACTTCTTCAACACGTCAGAATGTGGAACTCCGGCGTTTGGCATTCCGTTCAAACAATGCAGTGGAGACAAATGCAGCTAGCTTTGCGTCAACCCACTAATCGTTTCAACCAGAGCTTGGTATTCCGGTATTCCCGCATGCTGTCATCTCCTCCTCTCCCTCAGTTTCTGCCCGCATAGGGTTCTTTATTTACCGAAGTGGGAGATGCTACTATGTCGATAGTTAGTTACGTGCACAGATATTGTAAAGGAGACATTGTAAACTCTGGAGCGAGGGAAAGAGTTTTGTGTGCACAATTTAGGGGCTTGCTTCGAAAAGCTGCTTAACAAGTTGTTTTGTGAAGAGAGAGTGTGTGCACTCTGTCATCTTTCGTGTATTAACCAGTGCTGATGTGTAGAATGTTGAGACTAGAGATCGGTTTCCAAGAAAAGATTTAAATTTGGATGGGTAATTAGCCTAGGCCAATTACCTATCAAAATTTACTTATTTTCTGACAAAGAGCTCTTTTTCAGGAAATAGTACATTGCTGTAAGAAGCGCAGAGAGCAGTGGCCTGGGACCTATGGGTTGTTTACGAAATTCCTGCGAGATCTGCTGCTTACTATCTACGTCCAGCCGAGAGTACTGTTGAGTCGAGCAGGTTGACTGCATGTGCCTGGGAGACTCCTTGAGAATTGCTATATACTCCGTTTCACCGTAACTTGGCAAAGAGCAACTGCTACGGCCCCTTTGAGCCGATTAGAGCGACTGAACCGAAGGGGGTGTGGTGTGTCTCTAAGACACATAGCTTACAGTCCTACAACGCTTACAACACCTAGAGCCACAAGTAAACTTTGAAGTAACTTTTAATTGTAGAAATGCAACAAAACCGAAACTAAACTGCAACTTTACTGGTCCGCCATTTTGACTTGTGATCGTCAAATGTTTTATAAACATTAGCACATGGGCACCTTGAGCCTGTTTTGACCAGTGTCGGAAGCAATCAAAAGGCCATGACGATCTTCCGTGGGAAATAATGGGCTACAATTTATCAAGCTTGTCCGAGTACAATTTATCAAGCTTGTCCGAGTCAACCGATGGCCAGCAAATACTATAAGACTTTCAGCACGAGATTTCAGACAACTCACCATTCACATTTGATCTGCCGGCATCACCTCAGAGGGGACCACCCATGGTAGCTGCTTCAGAAACATGGAAGGTTTTGTTTGCTAGAACGGCGCAGACTGTTTTCTAGCACAACACCAATGCTAATAGCCAGCGTTCGCGTCGAACTGCTCTGACCCACTTTTGTTGCAGAGACTTCTCGGCTGAAAACCGATGAGACGTTGCTCTGCCGAGTTTCTTCTTGGTGTTATTGCACCCCACAGCACAATATCGCCAATTCTTCTCACCCTTTATAGCATGCCACAAACAGCCTAAACCAGACAAAATCCTCCGAACCGCAGGCACTCATCACTACGATGCACCACTCCGTGGAGAAGGGAGTGTCGTCTGCTCTCGGATACATTTGACGTCGCCAGTGCCCCTGATCGTAGTTGCCAGTGGAGCGGCAGCCAGTGATTCAGAGATCTTCATGCAAATTTCAAATTTGCTTTCTTGAAAGGAAATGATTATTTTGATGAGGTATTTTGTAGACCTGGGTGAATACTTAATGCATGATGAAATTTTTATAAAAATCAATGACCATCAATATTTTGCCAAAGGTCTCCTTTAACAAAGGTAGGAAGGAGAGAGCATAACCTAAACAGTTTGAGAAGAGGAGGAACTCCCCTCTTACCCGGAATCTCTTTTGCATCTTCCAGGCATCAATTTTGTCCCCCTTGGAGGTTAACCTGTCACTTAAAATTCGGACAACAGCGGCTCTTTCTTTCTGTCCCGCCCATGGTTTTGCAGCACTGTGTGCAACTCATGCTGTCACATGACTCCCTCTGACGTACTGATTGGCTCGCTGAGGAACCTTGCTATACTTTGCCTTCGCCTTTTGCCAAGTTATGGGGAGTATAGTAATTAGATTCTTATTTCAGCAATATGTCCCTTCTTCTGCTTGGCGTTTTTTTATTTATTTTATTTATTTCAAAATACTATCAATCCCTTTTTTTAGGAGAGAGCAAAGAAAACAACAACAAAATCGCAAGTTGCAAACACGCCGAGCACACGGAACACCACACGTGCAAAAATGCCAAGATAAAGACCAAAATTTACACAAGGTCTATTATACAAGTCTAGCCACTTCATGAAATCGGACATACCTTTTACCTCAACGGCACTTTCTGGCAAGGCATTCCACTCTGTTATTGCTCGGGGACAATCAGAATTCTTAAAGGGCCACTGAACAGAAAAAAACAGTCTGGTTGGGACACACGTGTCGTAAAAATAAATTTTACGAGAAAGATTTTTTAGGCAATATTGACGGCGCGAGATTTATTTTAAATTCTGCGCGCAAAGTCCATGACGTCACGGAATGGTCATGCACTCTTTCCACCTCAACGAGATGGTCATACTCTTTCCACCTCAGTGAGATGGTCATACACTCTTTCCACCTCAACGGGATGGTCATACACTCTTTCCACCTCAACGAGATGGTCATACACTCTTTCCACCTCAACGAGATGGTCATACACTCTTTCCACCTCAACGAGATGGTCATACACTCTTTCCACCTCAACGAGACGGTCATACACTCTTTCCACCTCAACGAGACAGTCATACACTCTTTCCACCTCAACGAGATGGTCATACACTCTTTCCACCTCAACGAGATGGTCATACACTCTTTCCGCCTCAACGAGATGGTCATACACTCTTTCCACCTCAACGAGATGGTCATACACTCTTTCCACCGCAACGAGATGGTCATACACTCTTTCCACCTCAACGAGGTGGTCATACACTCTCCACCTCAACGAGATGGTCATACACTCTCCACCTCAACGAGATGGTCATACACTCTTTCCACCTCAACGAGATGGTCATACACTCTTTCCACCTCAACAAGATGGTCATACACTCTTTCCACCTCAACGAGATGGTCATACACTCTTTCCACCTCAACGAGATGGTCACACTCTTTCTACCTCAACGAGATGGTCATACACTCTTTCCACCGCAACGAGATGGTCATACACTCTTTCCACCGCAACGAGGTGGTCATACACTCTCCACCTCAACGAGATGGTCATACACTCTCCACCTCAACGAGATGGTCATACACTCTTTCCACCTCAACGAGATGGTCATACACTCTTTCCACCTCAACGAGATGGTCATACACTCTTTCCACCTCAACGAGATGGTCATACACTCTTTCCACCTCAACGAGATGGTCATACACTCTTTCCACCTCAACGAGATGGTCATACACTCTCCACCTCAACGAGATGGTCATACACTCTTTCCACCTCAACGAGATGGTCATACACTCTTTCCACCTCAACGAGATGGTCATACACTCTTTCCACCTCAACGAGGTGGTCATACACTCTCCACCTCAACGAGATGGTCATACACTCTCCACCTCAACGAGATGGTCATACACTCTTTCCACCTCAACGAGATGGTCATACACTCTTTCCACCTCAACAAGATGGTCATACACTCTTTCCACCTCAACGAGATGGTCATACACTCTTTCCACCTCAACGAGATGGTCACACTCTTTCTACCTCAACGAGATGGTCATACACTCTTTCCACCGCAACGAGATGGTCATACACTCTTTCCACCGCAACGAGGTGGTCATACACTCTCCACCTCAACGAGATGGTCATACACTCTCCACCTCAACGAGATGGTCATACACTCTTTCCACCTCAACGGGATGGTCATACACTCTTTCCACCTCAACGAGATGGTCATACACTCTTTCCACCTCAACGAGATGGTCATACACTCTTTCCACCTCAACGAGATGGTCATACACTCTTTCCACCTCAACGAGACGGTCATACACTCTTTCCACCTCAACGAGACGGTCATACACTCTTTCCACCTCAACGAGACAGTCATACACTCTTTCCACCTCAACGAGATGGTCATACACTCTTTCCACCTCAACGAGATGGTCATACACTCTTTCCGCCTCAACGAGATGGTCATACACTCTTTCCACCTCAACGAGATGGTCATACACTCTTTCCACCGCAACGAGATGGTCATACACTCTTTCCACCTCAACGAGGTGGTCATACACTCTCCACCTCAACGAGATGGTCATACACTCTCCACCTCAACGAGATGGTCATACACTCTTTCCACCTCAACGAGATGGTCATACACTCTTTCCACCTCAACAAGATGGTCATACACTCTTTCCACCTCAACGAGATGGTCATACACTCTTTCCACCTCAACGAGATGGTCACACTCTTTCTACCTCAACGAGATGGTCATACACTCTTTCCACCGCAACGAGATGGTCATACACTCTTTCCACCGCAACGAGATGGTCATAAACTCTTTCCACCGCAACGAGATGGTCATACACTTTTTCCACCTCAACGAGATGGTCATACACTCTTTCCACCTCAACGAGATGGTCATACTCTTTCCACCTCAACGAGATGGTCATAGACTCTTTCCACCTCAATGAGATGGTCATACACTCTTTCCACCTCAACGAGGCGGTCATACACTCTTTCCCCCTCAACGAGGCGGTCATACAAGACGGTCATACACTCTTTCCACCTCAACGAGGCGGTCATACGAGACGGTCATACACTCTTTCCACCTCAACGAGATGGTCATACACTCTTTCCACCTCAACGAGATGGTCATACACTCTTTCCACCTCAACGAGATGGTCATACACTCTCTCCACTTCAACGAGATGGTCATACACTCTTTCCACTTCAACGAGATGGTCCTACACTCTTTCCACCTCAACGAGATGGTCATGCATTCTCTCCACCTCAACGAGATGGTCATGCATTCCCTCCACCTCAGCGAGATGGTCATGCATTCTCTCCACCTCAACGAGATGGTCATGCATTCTCGCCACCTCGACGAGATGGTCATACACTGTCTCCACCTCGACGAAATGGTCATACTCTCTCCACCTCGACGAGATGGTCATACTCTCCCCACCTCAGCACGATGGCCAAGCCGATCCACCTCTTCTCCATGTCCTCGAAATGCCGAGGGAGAAAACAAGTGGAAAGTAGGTGACTACCGACTAAATTCCGTCTTGCATAAAGTTTATTTTTTGGCACGCAAGTCCCTACCAGACCGTGTAAAAAACATTTTTTGGTATATCAATATTCTTCCCTTGTTCTCATATTTTTATTTCGCATAATTCTAGAACTATGACGTCTAATTAAACTATGTTTGTCTATATCCAAAATTGTTTCATCTAAAATCTTGTAAAACATTTTTAGCTGCTTGTTCCGAGGCACCTCTTCTCCAGTATGCTGATACCTGCCTTTAAATACACTTCTGTGGGCAAATCAAGCCTCCTATACTTTCAATTAATGAACCGAAATGCCAACTTATGAATTCTTTCTAGTTTTAATACTAATTTCTTTGTGTGAAGGTTCCACCTTTCGTTGTAACTTTGGCCTTATTAGCATTTTAAACACTAACGGTTTGGTTTCAGATGTTGCCATTTTTAACGACCTGAAGTTTACCAATAGCTTGCTTGACTATGTTAGTACTGTATGTGTCCCACCGTAGGTTGCCAGTTATTGTTACCCCTAAGTACTTAGGTATACTCATTTACTTCAGCCTAAAGGAGTCCTTCTTAAATAATATTTCAGTGCTATCGGAGCTTTCTTGTAAAATTGACATGCACATTGCTTTTTTGTATTTTAAAGACATCTGCCTGTCCTCACACTACTCACTAATTTTCTGTAAATAATTGTTAAGTTCTATGTGGTTCCTGTCGTTTTCTGTACAGGTACATAAATTACAATCATCGGCAAAAAGTCTTAATTTGACTGTAATCTCCCAAAGAACGTTGTTAGTAAAACCAAAAATGAGGGCCCTAAAACGGAACCTTGTGGAACTCATGATCCGGCTCCCTGAAGCATAGGTGTCGCTATCAATACTGACAAATTGTTTCCTACAGTACAGAAATGCTTCAATCCACCGCAGTAGCTCTGAGTTTTTAGGCAAATATTTTAGTTTTAAAAGTAGTTCATTATGGTTCACCTTCTAAAAGGTTTTTTGGGAGTCTAAGAAAATTGTGTCAATTGGGCCTTTCTCGTCTCGGTAAACCTTTCCGAAATCCATGTTGTTTACTACCCAGTACAACATGTTCAAGTATTTTACAACAAGTAGACAGTAGAGAGATGGGCCTAACATGTGTGATAAGACTAGTGTTTCCTTTTTAAGAACTGGTATTATCTTGGCAATTTTCCAATCGTTCGGGACAGATCCATCTGATAAGTAAACTTTCGTTAGTTCGACCTTGGTTAATTCGACTTTTCGTTTAATTCGATCGTGTTCAAAGTCCCGGCGAGCGCCCATACATTTCTATGGGAGGAAACGTTCGATAGTTCGAACTCGGGAAGACTCTGCATCGGATAATTTATCCAGAGCGAATGCGCGCAGGCTCACGTTGCACGGCACCATGGCAGAAAAACCACCAAAGTATGGTGAAACATGGGCCCTTTGCTGCAAAGCCGAACGTGGGCAAATATGCGCCTGCTCCTCTACGCCATTGAGATGGACCGTAGCGAATGACACGAGCGAGCGCAACCAATCTGGCATGGAGTAGCACGGAGAACATAGCACGTGGTCGGGCGCGGAGGCTGCGGGCCCTCTCAAAGTGCTTTTCTGTTGCATCGTGTGCGGTCCATTTTGCGCAAATTCTCTTTTCCTTTTTTGTTTGTTTGTTGAAGAAGTTGGATTTTAAGAAGTTGACTAGGTTAGAAAAAATTATATGTTCAAGAAGTTTGCAAGGAATGCTGGTTATTAATATCGGACGATAATTAAGTAAAGTGGAAGCTTCTCATCAAAATGTCGCCTTCTTTCCAGCGTTTGCTTTGTTCAAAGGAGCCGATGCCTCGCGTTTTCGGACGTCACAATCCCGGCAATCGGTCGTCAGAATGCTGGCAAAAAAAAGAGAGGACACTAGTCGCCGTCCTCTCGGCATCCTATCTCGCGTGTGCTTTGGTTTCCGTCGATCGTCTAGCTGCAGAGCGACCTACGGCGGCGTCTGCCACTTCCACCTCCGCCGCCGTGCCACGCCCTACATCCCAAAAAACAGCAGCGTGACACTTATGCGACTTCGTTGGGCGGAAATCGAGGGACCACTTTTTAGGATTGTGTAAACGCTCCGGTCGGAGAAGCGTTCCAAGCACCGTGCTCACCGCCGCAGCTGCCGCACAAAGTCCTCTCCTCGGTTGTGGGTGGCGACACCAGATGGCTCTTCGATGAGCGGCTGATGGCAACCTGTCACGGGCACACTCATCTTTAAGGTTGTTTTCTGGGTGCGCCACGTCATGTAGAACTTGGCACTTGCGCTACGCATGTTGCTTAGACACTACTTCGTCATTTACCCTAGTTTCAAGCCTCAAATTGGCGGTAGTGAGAGTTTTATGAACGCATCAAAGGAAAGAGGTCTCTGTCGCGGTTCCGGTTTGAGCAGACGCTCGGAGCCGAAAGAGCGTGTGCCCGGGGACGAGACACGTTATTTCGTTGTTTTTTTTTCTCTCGCTTGCACCTTCTAGACAGCAAAGGTGCCGTTGGCTAAGACTACTCGGTTGTGTGCCAGGAGTACTTTTTCTGGTCATTTGCATCGCAGCGTTTGCTGCGCTGCATGTCCTCGCCTATACATATCTTGCATCACGCTGCAGGCCGAGTTTCAGCTAAAGCTTTCCCGGACACGCTACCTGGAGGCAAAGATTCTGAGGGAAGCCTGGACAGAAATCTGCCTTCCGGACTACAAAATGGAGGGAGCATCGTCAGAGGAACAGGAAGAGGAGTTCCATCGAGAGGTAGTCTTCTCGTTATGCTCTCTTCGCCTTATTTTCTCTAGTTCCATAGAGCACGAGAAAACTGAGCATGGTGGAAGGCGAGGAGCGCATGCTGGAGGCCGGCTGTTCCAAAGAGACGCCCTTCCGTTCTCCACTTGCCAGTTACTATAGTAAAGGGTGCCCCCCCAAAAAATGTATGGGTTTCTTTTTTTCACCGCAAAAATAAACAATGCATTGTTGAATGCTCATTTTCTGCCCAAAGGGTGTGCTAGCGGTCTGACCCAGATGATAAAGTTTGAAAACAAACCGTTATCTCATTCAAAAGTGAAGAGTGATTTTCTGAAAATGTCAGTGGGATAACGGGGCCCATTTCGCACTTTTCCTGCGACTGTGCCGTTCAGCTCTGTGTATTCGACAGCTCCATCGGCTGCCATTTTCTTAAGGGGGGACACTACCTTGAATTGCACTTTTTTTTTCAAAAATATTCATATTCAGAATTGCAGAGTTTTGGCATGTATGGATAACAAGGAACACTCTCACAAAGTCTTGTCAATGTGCACTGACAAATAATGTCAAAAATAATTATCCTTTGTATGTTGGTGAGGTGTGCTGCACTGCGTAGCACTCGTCATCCACAAGTGAAAATAACTGAAATCAATATCAGTATATCAGAAGAAGTTTGAGGAAGACATCACGTGCATTGCTGGAAAGAATTTCTGACATTTAACACACAAAAATAAATTTTTAAGATGTTATCTTGAAACTTCAGGGGCATTTATCTCAGCTTCACTTTTTAGTGTCAAATATCAGTTCAGGGAAGCTATCATTTCATAATCAAATTATGCGTGCAGATATATTTTGGTTTTTCTATATCGAAATTTTCTGGAGAACACGACTGTGAACTTACTTTCTGCATTTTTCTGCTCTTTTGATATGAAAAGTTTATATTTCTTTTATTCAAATGTACACAAAAAAAAAATTTTTTTTCCATTATTTTTTTGTTAATAAATTTCATAATATTTGAAATTTCTTTTTATAGTCGTCTGAAGCAAGTATTCTGCTGTATGTTCCAGCAACAAAACTGGCCATTTTCATTACCCTTTCTAAATGATAGCTTTCCTAAGCAGATACACTTTTTTATTATGAACTTTTATGTAACTCATCGTGGGATAAATTTATAGGGTTGAAAATTTCCACGGCATCCTTGTCCAGTGCTATGAGTACACCCTGCAAATTTCATGCAAATAAGACAAACGGTTCAAAAGTTAGCCTTCAGGAGTAGTGTTCACCCTTAATGAAATTTTCAGAAAATCTCTTATACTTTTGAATAAGATAACAGCTCTGATTGGCATCTGGTTGTAACTGTTAGGTCTACTTTTGGGTGGACTATGAGCATTCAACAAAGTATAGCTTTTTTTTTTTGTCTGTGTGTGTGTCTCTCTTTCTCTCTCTCTCTCTTTCTTTCTTTTGTGGGGCACCCTGTACATAATACTTGCAACCAGTAACCGCAACATTATTTGAGTCACGAACGTGGAATGAAGACGACATGGTTAATGTTTGTTTTCCAGCATGTCTGCCTCCCAAATAACCTCCAAATAACCTCTTTGTCCATTATAGAATGCTTCATGCTGACCTTTCATTAATTTTTTAAGAGTCTGCAAGCCTAGAGTTGTGGGATATCAGATTTGTATTGTGAATTGCATGTGAATGTTTTTGCATGGATATTTTAATAAATTCCGGCTGAAAATTTTTGTTGAAAAGGATACAACTATGCAAGAACAGTTTTCTTAGTAGTGAAACATTTCACATCCTTGTATAACACAAAAAAAAAAAGCCCTAAAAAGATAAGCTGGGTTAAGCACAATGTAACATGGCAAGCGAAGCAACGATTACCTTATTTATTTGAATATGGCTCGAGGTTTTTTTTCTTTAGCTCTGCCCTTTAAATTTAGTGTTCGAGCTACAATCGTAACCAAAGAAGTCTGAGCTACAATAGTGATCAAACTTTCCCAAAACCTTCGAGCCATCAGAGATGCTCTTTCTGTACTGCAGTTTCTCCTGGCCCATTGGTTCGAAGCAGTGAAGCTTGACGCAAGAAATCTGAGAATTCCGAAGGCATTATTTCTGAATACCCAATGTACAAGGAACATCAATACCTTAGAACAGTACAAGTGTGTTGCAAAGTGAATCAAATAGCAAAGTTTAGTTACAAGTGACTAGAAGTTTTGAATATTTATTTTTACTTGTCTGTTGATTAGTTGTGCTCTATTCATGGCATATATCCTAAAATATTGCCAAGGCACCAAAGCAAGTCTTTCTTTTTTTGGAATGAAGATTCTTGATTTTCCAGATTGAGCTCAGTCCCCCCTTTTCCCTCCTTTTCCATTTTGATGATGAAGAAAAACCGAAACAAACAGTCTTTCAGTTTAAATTATTCTTTTTATGACTTTACAAAATGCTACTCAACCAGAAATAATGGTCCATAGTAATCAATATTTAAAAGTGGAATAAATCTGTCGGGATGGCAGTCATATGTGTCTATACCGCATGCCCACGAATCTGGTGGGATGCCTTCAAAGTGACCGCGTAAATTGTCTTGATAGTGTACCGCGCTATGATTTACCACAGATGTGCCCAAAGGCGGTGAAAGAATCTCATCAAAACTTCAAAGAACAAGCTTGCACGAATATAAGTAAAAAAAAACAACCGATTTTTCCTACCTGCTGCACCCATTTGCTATCCACACATCCTCTGACTGGTGCAACAACAGACAGATGACGGCAGCGGCCCCGGCGTTCGCATACCGCCCGATCACGCCAAAAGCAGGCGACATGTTAGCTGACATTACTCGACGAACCATCGCTTTTATTTTGTGTCCAGTTAATTTGTTTTATTGAGAACGAAAAAGGAAATCATGCACTGACCGTTGTAGCAGCGAAAAGGCGTGTGCCGTTTACGATTATAAAACAGTTTGCTTTTGTCACGATTGGGCGGTAAGACGACATAGGGGTTGCTGCCGCCACGCGTCGATCTTTGCACCAGTCGGAGGGTGCGTGGATAGCAGACGGGTGCCATAGGCAGAAAAGATCAGTCATCCTTTCTTCACTTTTTATTCAGGTCAGTTTGTTCTTTGAAGTATCGATGCAACGCTTCCACCACCTTCGGGCACCTCCCCAATAAATGGTAGTGCGATACGTTAACACGCTGATTAGGCGGTCATTCTGAAGGCTTTCCCCGGATTTGTGGGCACTCGGTAGTTGCTGACAGAGCGAGAAGGGCAGGGGGTGCCTTTCAAACACTCGGCCTTTAGCGCGCACTCTGCACCTTCCACCACGCCTTGGCTCCGAGCGCGTGCTCGAGGTGCACAAGATGCTGAAGCGTCGTCAAAGGTAGGAAGCTCGTGCTGGAGATGGGCAAACTGAAGCTGCCCTCTGTTATCCTCACCTTGTTGGGGACTACGTTCGACTCATTTATGAACGTTCTTTGGCTAGTTTTTCAGCATTTCGTGACGCCTGGATAAGCATGGCTGCTAGGCTCGATGCCGATTGGTTAACGGGGGAGGGCACATGACCAGAGGGGTAGGCGAGGAGGAACTCGACCACCTGTGCGCACTGAGGGAAAGGAGCTTGAGAGTATGAAAGGCTCCGGGAAATTGCCAGTTTATCAGCCCAATTAGCAGTAGTATCGCTTCATTCTATTCTCTGTTTCACAAATACTTGGCGAACTGTGGAGGCTGCAGCTTCCCACAACCTAGCAAGGTCACCAGATCAAGGCAAGTGATAACACCCCATGGTTGAGCCGTTGGGGCCTCGTTACCGCCATAGCAACAGAGGCCTCCACAACAAAATGTAGTTCGACTTTTTTTTTGAACGGCCATTGAATTTACATGATTTCATCTATAATGAGAAGATGTGAAGAATAAAGAATAAATAATCACAAATTTATGAGTTCCAGTTATTTTTAAACCAAAAAAGTAACGTCACATCCCTATTCGCTCTATTATTTATTTTTTTTTGCCTTCTAGCGCCGTGTAATTGGCTGGTTCTGCTCAAAATGTTGCACTGTGCCCTGTTATTAGCACCCGTCACAAATTGGTGGCTAAATTGAGCGTATGGTTGTCTCATGAACTGTTCCCGAAGTGCTCGCTATTCTGGTGGACGGATATGTTGCAGCGGTGGACGCTCATCCGAAGTTAGTTGGTTTCAGAGCAGACGACTCTTCGCTAGCAGACGAAAGCCAGTTCCTCGGGGCCTCGCATTTAGTATGGTGACACAAATGCTCCTTGACGTCGGGTCACATGCCTCACTCCAACGCTCTTACTGGGTTGCGGGGCGCTAGCCTCCACAGTTCGCCAAGTTATAGTGGAACGGAGTATAGGAACAACTATCTAGTGCACGCATGATACGCGTTGAACTATCTGATAAAGACCACCTTAAGAGTATCGCTAAATATTTGTGATGCCAGAATGTTTCACATGTGCAACACAATTGCATAGCAATTTGCCATACAATTTGTTTCCAGTTTCGGCGCCTGCGAGATGCTGTTCTGCTCACGGAGCAGCCACTGCCGGGTTTGGCTCCCCCTCCGAGCCGTCCCCCAAGCAATGTGAGTGTTCTGTTCACCGAGGAAAATCAGAGTGAATTTTGAGTCTGCATCTCCCGGGTGGATATGTGTCAACTGCCAATCTCCAAAAGTAGAGCCATTGATTGGTCCTTGCCTCTGGATTTAAATAGCTTAAGCTTCGAGATGGGGGAAATAGGAAAAATACAGCATTGTGTCGTGTTGTCTTTTTTATTTCATACTTATTTTTCTTTCCCGGGTTTAATATGCCACTTCAGCAGTTTGAAGATTCCACATGGCAGGCAAGTCATTCGTGCAAATCAGCAGGACCCGGATTAAAATGACTTGTCAAACGCATCCAAAAACACTGGTGCAATAAGCTTCATCGGTATTTCAAAGCAAATGCGCTCCATGCTGTAGGTCGAGGTCACAAACTGGAGAACACAAAAGTGCTCCCGAATATAAGAAGGCCCCCGACCTGTTCCTTGCAGTCTTTTGAACTCGCGTGACCATGAAAGGGAAAAAGAAAGAAGGGCTAGATGTGGCCTTGCTATGTACTCCTGCCATGCACCTGCCTGCCTGATTCATACTGCAGATGACCAGAGGGATAGAAAAAGAAAATGCCCAACTGGCCAGAAGTGATGGAGGTTTCAGTGCGTTCCCTAAAGCAGGGGATCTCAAACTTTTCATTTTTGAGGAGCCCTTACCAGCCTTGACTGATGGCAGAGGAAACCCTCCTGGTTTTGGCAGTGAAGCAGTTGAGAAGCCTACAATGGGCTGGTGCATTAATGACTGAGCATGGCACCATGATTGGTCGCTTTGGTCAATGGCGGGGGGTCATTTACCTCTGCACTGCAACACTCATTTCTGTCACCGTCTCTTTGACAACATTGCAGTCGTTGGAAAGGAGTAGATAAGATGGCCAGGGAAATATTAGAAGCATACAAAACGAATGAGTTGGTGGAAAGCAACTGCATAAGCCACACTTCCATTTTACTTGCACAAAAAAGAGCCAGCCTACTTGGACCACGTTGATACGATGGAGGTTCGGTTGTCTATTTCGTTGGGTTTCTTTCAATCAATAGTTTAGTAGCCTGTTCAACACTCATCTTGTATACTTCTCTCCCGTCTTGGGTGTTTTTTCCGCCGTTTCAAACATTGCTTAAAACACTTTAATTGAAAAATTCTGGGAACTCTGAAGTGATGAGGGTATTCTGGGGAACCCCGCTCTTTCTAGAAACCCATTTGAGAACCCACGCTCGAAAGCCAGGTTTAGGGTGTTGTTTGTGTGCCACAGCTCGGTTGGATGATTGACAGAGTTCTTCTTCGTCATTCAGAACCTCCAACTCACGATCCACGACCTCTTGTCAAAGCAGCTCGACAGGCTATCGGCGGCACTCTCAGAATGCGGAGGTGAGTAACCCAAAGCATTTTTTGCCGACTAATTTCGGAGTTTGGTGAGACAACTGATTTCCGGGGGTAATTTCCTCCAGATTGCTTGGATGAATGTACTGTTGTGCATTTTATGCTTTTTTTATTGTTAAGCCCAGATGCAGCCGGCACTACGAGCCGATGGTACATTAAAATAACATCAACAATGAGCATTGAGGTGTTCGTTGCAGTTCTGTGTGTGTTCTATCGTCGCTAAATTGACCGTGTACAGGGAAGGCCCAGTGACTTGCACTTTTAGTATGTGTGCTCGTGACTCCTACTGCACTTACGCACGATAATATGCGGTATAGCCCTAAAGTAAAATAAATGCAGCAGTACTCGGTGTACCTTCTAAGTTCCTTGAAACACTATGCAGAGAGCAAGTCGTTTGCTTCTTGCGCAGGAGTTTCCTTGATGTCAGAACAACAAGCTCCGATTGGCTTTGATTAAAAGGATAGTGGGTAGACGTCAATGATGGATGCCTTGAGGATCTACCCTCTATTTCTTTTAATTGGCAATAAGAACTTGGCCTTCTAACATCATTGTGACCCCTGTGCAAAGGGGCGGACAAACTTGCGCTTTGTATGGGAAGATTTAGGGTTCTCGGCACTTGCCTTTAACAAATCTTAGTCACTGGAATTGTACATTTTGAGTTCGAAGTAAATTGAAAGCAAATAGTGGTTTTGATTGAATATTTTCAAATAGAATATTAAATAGTTTCTTAAAGCCCTTCACTACCATGCACCCTGCTCAAACAAAAGTTTATCTGAACTTGTGACGGTCGTTCCCATCCTTCCACTTGTCCACTTCTAAGCAGAGTTCATTTTAATGTAGCCATAGTTATTAACTGTGGCATGTAAACGACAGGTGTCTCGCAGTTAACATAATCGAGGCAGATTTATAGGTTTGCTTGCTATATGCAAATGTTCTTCTATTCCGAGTTTGAAAAATTGCAAACAAAACGAGCAAGAATGATGAACGCGGCTGTCAAGGCTGAGTTTACATGGATGCTACCGTAACAAATCAAATCGAGATTTGCCGCCTAGAATTGGGTAGAAGGGAAAGGAGGATCGGGGGCGTGCGACCGGTTACCGCTAGATTCGATGCGCTACGGTCACACCCATGTAAACGTCCCCAAGATGTTGCTGCCTAACATATACTCGTCCGTTATTGCAGCGGGTTTGTCCTGTTGAGTGTGCTTCTCACCAAGCACATAACCACTGCAGTAAAGCAATGCCTGCGAGCTCTGCTGGTGTTGCTTCTTTGCAGTGCACCAGTGTTCAATAAGAAGTGCACTCAACGGGACTAATCTGCCGCTATCAATACTTTGAAAAGAATGAATATTGCAGTTCACCCTAAAGCGAATACCGAATAGCATATTATTTGAAACTACTATTCGAAAATTCAAATATTTGCACAGCACTACAAATTGTGATAGTTTCAGTGTGCATTTATTATTAGGATATAAAAACGATGTTATGGATGTGCGTTTTATTAAAATATTTAGTTCAGGTGTGCTTGACTCAAGCACATAGAATCTGGGTCGAATAAGTAAAAAAAACAGTAGTGCACTAACCAAGTGGGTGTGCAGTAGTATAGCAAGTAATCTCTATAGAATGTGGTTAAGTTTAATTCAAACATATATTTTTACCTAGAACTTTGGCTTTCTTCGCGCTTGGAAGGGAGCACGAAGTTGGGAGATTGGTGTCACGAAAACTTGGTCACGGAAGTGATTCACAGATAACACCGGAGCGCCAACCGATTAGCATCTTTGCGCTTCTTGATGGCACGCCGTGCCTAGTGTTCAGAACCACACAGTGCACACATGCGTCCTTTTAGTGCAATGGCAGTCCTAGCTACGCCCCCCCCCCCCCCCCCCCCCCCGCCCCTGCCCCCCCCCCCCAGATTTCTTGGACTTTCTGGCCTTCTAATGCACAGTAGGTATGCACAGTAGACCATTTCAGCTCACATTCGCACCTTCTTTGACAGACCTGACGACTTTGACATCGTCCTAGAGGTCGTCCTTGAGGTAGTTCTAGAGGTCGTCCAAGACTTTTCACACACGGGTCCTTAAAACCTTGAAAACCCTTGAGCCCTTGAATTGTAAGGTGCCAACCCAGCCTTACAATTTTTGGATCCTTCATTACCTGCCCAGCCGAATCACCTCTGCTGGTCCTCTTCTCCCCAATCAAAGAAAGGCGTTCTTCCGTACACATCCTCCCATTCAAAGGTCGTAAAAAGAGGCATAGCCATCTCCATTTTAGGATTGGTCCTGTTTAAGTCCTGCTACCATGCGATCAAGGATAGTTGTGGGTCTCAGCTTGAATGCCTAAGGGCATCTGGATTCCCCTCGCAGGTGCTTGCTGAGGTTTTGGGGTTCCTGTTACGGAAGGTGACACTTCACAAGGACAGACCTCATTTACAGAGGAAGTGCCCGGTAGTGGTTCCCTACCTTCATAAATTTTTCCCACAATTTAAAACAAGTTGCCAGCAGGTACGAGGTCCCGTTGGTGTTTTCTGCTCGCTACAAGATAGCCAAGATCCGTTCTAAAGTGGGTTCTGTTATGGACAATCACTCAACTCCAGGGTGCCAAAAGCGTCACAAGCACCAGTTTGTTCCCTGCTCAGAAGGTGTTGTGTACAGGATCCCCCTAACGTGCGGTGGTTGTTATATTGGACAGACTAAATGATGTCTTAATGACCAACTTCGTGAACATTTATATTCACTTCACGCCACCGTGGGAGGCCTCCTGCCTTTACACTGCCTTACCTGTCGGTGCTCACCAACTTTTTCGGGCACAACAATATTAGGACGATATCGAGATCGGAAAACTAGAGAAATAATATTCAAAAATCAGGCCAACAGAGTGTGAGTCGCCCTTCACTATTTGTAAGTGACAAGGAGGTAGACTTCCTAGCCAGCGCATTCAAGTGACCTTGGCCAGCCTGTACTTTATGCAAATTTTTTATCTTGTTCCTCTTTCTTTCTTTTTAGTAATGGATTTTTCTCCTATTTCTTTTTTTCTCCTCTTTAATAATGTATCCATTTTTCTTATTTCTTTTTACCTTGTGGGTGCGGGTGGTGGGCTTCATGTCTGAAGCTTTCTCTTTCTTTCACAATACATAAGTTGGGAGTCGGCGCTCTTTCCCGTCTTCTATTTTCTTTCTCCTGTGCGTGTGCACTGTTTTAGATAGGTCTTTCTTATACATGTTGCAAGCCAAATTTCAGGGCGCCGCAATTGTGCTTAATTAGGGCTCGCTGGAGAATGGCCATAACCCAATTATGACGCCTTAGCAAGGCCTCTTGATCAGATTGTGACGCATCCAAGCGCTCCCCGACCGAGCAAGATGGCGGCGCCCTGAAGCCGGACTTGCGAATGTGTATATAGTCAGTTACAGGTTAAGAAGGTAGCGGCAAATGCTCCTCAAAGGGAATCGGATATCCCTCCGCCACCTCCGCATCCAATAGCGTCCCACCGTTTCCGTGACGTCGCGGCCAACGCGTGAGGAGGGTCTTGCCTTTCTGTACATATTTGCTTTATCTTTCGACTTCGACTTAGCATTGTGGAAGCCACGAGAGGGAGATTAGAGTTCTCCCCCACCGACGGAAACAAATACGACTTTCGGGGATTACCGATGAATACAAAGGCTGCTTTCAGGGGCTCGGTTCCCTCTCCGATGAATACAAAGGTCGCTTTCTTAAAAAGTGGGATCGGAGACAAGTGGGAATCCATTGAAGCGGAACAAGGAGCGTTTCCAGTGAACTCTTCTTTCGACTGCGGAGAGATTTGAAACGGGCGCATCACACTTGTGGGAGGAGCTTCTCCTACCTTCTTGACTTGTAACCGACTATAGCAAGTTACAGCTCATTAAGGTATGGTGAGGGAAAAGAAGGTTGGGGAGGAAGCAGATGGAATGCTGGAGAAGAGAGGGGGAAACCACCTCTCTCCAGTGTTCCATCTCCTTCTTCCCCCCCAGCCTTCCTTTCACTTGCCCTATTTCGAGTTGCAACATACTATAGGTATCGTGCAATGAAGAATTTTTGCAGTGCATTTACGTAAGTTGTTATATTATAAATTTACTAGACAGAGTATGGGAAAGCGTCCTTGAAAACCCTTGAATTTTTTTTTCTTTGAAGTCCGATGAACCGATGAACCCTGTCTAGGCTGTAGTAAAGTGGTAAGCTGGGCGAGTTGGTAAACGTTGAACATTGTGAAAAATCATGCACAAAGAGACAAAAACAAGAGGAAGGAACAGACAGTCACATTCTTTCAACTCTGGAAGATGGAAGATTCATTCATGACAGAGGACACCTGCACCAGGGGGAATACAGTTCAGTCACAGTCAAATGGTTGCAAAAAGGCTACTTCCTTTTCGCCCAAAGGAATAGACTGCAGACTAGCGCAGCAGTCGACCACACCCAAGATGGTAAACTCCTCGAGCACCTCGCGCGTTTGTTTTTCTTTTATGCGCCCAATGATTGACGTTTTTTCTAAAGATGGCGAGCACGTACAAGTCCTGCAATGTGCCGAAAGGTGACCTTGTGGGTATCCCCTTTTATGGAGGTACCACTTAGAAACACAAAGAAGGTTCCTTGGGTCCGGATAAAGACGTGTTTATTTGACTTAGATGCCACACGCTTGCCCGAAGGCCAACAATGTTGGAGATGACGGCGCTGTCTCTTTTGACAGGATCGCCAGTCAGAGTCCGCGCTGCCGCTATTGACAGTATCACGGAGGGGGAGGATCAGATAAGGATATGAAGGCTCCGTTGAGCAGAGCCTCCCCCAGCGAGAGTCCCGCCTGTTGGATTAGGGCCGTCTTATATAGCCTGCGGGAATGGACGCGCCCAGGGTGGGTCGGGTGTAGGTGGCCCCCGGAGGGGCGGACGCGTCCAAGTCATGATCCCGAGGGGTGTGCCTTTTTTTTAGGGCTGCAGTGAGGCAGGAGATAGCTATGCCTCTCTTCGCTGCCTTGGAGTGCGAGAATGTGTGGTGGAGATCTTCAGGGTGGTGTTTATACCATATCTCTTTATGCTGTGATTGCTGCATCAATTGTGCCGAACTGCACCAAGGGGCTATCTCTGCTACATTTTGATCAATTTTGCCAAAATATGAGTAATCTGCGCCAAGCCTGCGCCAAAAATACAATTTCGGCCGCCTTTCAAAAGTAATTGAGCATGCGTTTGTTATGTGGCGTAAGCGGCCGCCCGACACCAAGTACTCTGCATCAATTATCCATCCGGTCTTGCATGGTTCTTTCGCCGTTGCATTTCGCGCACTCATCTCTCATCTTTTTTTCTTTTTTTTATATTTTCAACAATAGACATGGGTGTGTGCTAACACTCCGACACTAGCGTGCCGGTTACCAGCCATGCGGTCCCGCTGTGCAACGAAACCTCGGTTTGCGCGGCGGGAGTTGTTTTGTGAGCTGAAGCACTCTCCTGAAAGCAACTGCCGTGGGAAAACTATTTGGTTTCTACCTTCCAGTCACAATGGTCACGCGACGTCGGCTGTTGCTGTTCTCACGTCGCTGCACATGTGGCACTATCTAAAATGAAACTTAAGTACCGCCGCATGTTCATCAACATTTTTGTTCCTGTTTAAATCGTACGTTACTACAAAAATCCCTCTTTAACTTAAAGACTGCTGTGTCGAAGTATTGATTACCTAAGTCGCTCGATGCGCCTTCTTTCAGGAAAGACCCCGGTACGTGAAACATCGGCTGCGACAGAAAGTCGAAGAAGAGATCAGTGAGCTAAAGCAAATAAGGCAATATCTGCACGTTGAACCCACACACCGCACTTGTTTATCTCTAGTTCGCTCTGTACTAAGCGCCCCAAGAACTTTTTGGCCCTTTCTTGCGATGTCTTGCATCGATGTATTCAGGTTCTGTTGTTTTTTTTTGTGTGTGTGTGCTTAGCTTGTACCTTGTTTGCCGGCCTGGCAAGCACGCGCCGCTAGACTGTTTCTTGTCGTATGCTCGACAGTTACATTTTGCATACAATTTTGGGAATCGGTTGGTGACGGAGCGGAGTGGCAAGGTTTCGGTTTCGATTGAACATGCAGCCATTGTCTCCGCTCACGCTACAAAGCATGCGCAACTGCAAGCCTGTTGAAGTTGACCTTACGTGCATGCAGACATGATTGCACGGCAGAGACAGCAGCCGGGACGCTTACAATCCATTGTTCTAGGGTTGCTTATTTTTGTCTAGACTCTGGCACATCAGGAACCAGCAAAACGGTGGCAAGTGGTTTTTCGGAATTGATCGGCAGTGTCTACAGCACTGTACACTTGTAAGATGTCTCGGCAGTAATAATACAAGCAGCGAGTTCTGTCACAAGACGTCACATCAGAACACAACACAACACGAAGTGCCCTTTATTTGGACACAACTTATTTTTGTTTCTCTAATAATATCTGCTCCAAAAGCCACTTTTGCTGCTCCGAAACAATCTTGGCTGCTTCAAAAGCAACTTTTGCTTTTGAAGCAGCCAAGATTGTTTTGCTGCTCCAAAACACTGTCTTGGCTGCTCCGAAACGTGCTCCAAAGTGGCTTGGGCCAATTTAATCACTGATATCTACACAAAATATTGCATAATCTAAAACAAGTGGCAAGTAAGTATGGTGTGCCTATAGTACTATTAGCCCCTAAAAAAATGTGACAAACTTCTTCTAGGGTTCACATGCGCGGCCTTTTGTTCTCTATTCGTCGGACATTGTATATACCGTATTTACTCGCATAATGAACGTGCCAGTTGTGAACATGAGATTAGTCAAATACGCATTTGAAGACTTCCTGGCAAACCAGGACACCATAAATTTGAGCCATATTTCTGTGTGCGATTCTTCAAATCGTGACGTCGGCTGCCATCTTATTACTTGTACAAATAGACACAGCACTCTCCTTCCATTTCAATCTTCTGTAGCTTCAATTTCTAGTGGAAAGTTATTAACAAAATATTCTTTCTCCTGCAGCAAAAATATCGATGGTAATATTCAAATGTTTTTCTCTATGTAATTTTGGAGCATCTTCGCAACTTGATCACAGAATTTTTTTTTTTTTTTTCAATATTCTATATTATAATTAAATTCGGCATGCATGTACTTTAGAATATATAGAATGCAACTATCTAGATTTGGTTAGATTGTATATTTTGTATCTTCATGCAAAGGTTGAAAAACTTAGTATGTTAGCCCCTTAGAAACATTGTTTTTGTGATTTTGGATTCTTTTAAACTAAGTCTCGCAAACATTGTTTTTGTTGTTCACTGCTCTTGTTGGTTTAATTTTACTAGGCTCTTAATAGTGTTGCCATGCCCCACATGTTTTAAAAAAAAAACGTTTTTTTTTCTGCATGTGCACTGCATCTAGAACATAATACAAACTATAAAATCTAATGCCACATTTATAAAGAGGACATTAAGCACTATAAATTGTGAACATTTTATTTAGTTATTTTGAATAATAATAAAACATGTTTTCTTCTGCCGTATGTCCCCTTTAAGGGGGGACACTGGCCAGAGTTTGAACTTCTGAATTACTCAAGTGATCGGAATGAAATTTGCAGGGGAGATTTAACTTCAGATGTAGGTGCGCTGTGCAAACTTTCGGCTTTCTAGGACAACTTTACATACCTGCATAAGATGTCACTCTTTGTTAAGAAATCTATGATGTGCAAATGAAGCTATTAAGCATCATTTTAAGTGCTTGAATATAAAGTGGGGGATGTCGAACTTTGGGCTATCTAGTATTTATTACTCAAATGTAAATATTTCAGGAAGAGTGATTGCCTCAAAATAAGAGATGCATGTCTGTCCTATGTCAATTTTTGAAAACATAGTTTTTTGTCAATGAGGACTTAAACTTAAAACAAAATAATGTAGATGGTAGTACAATTCCCCAGTAAATTCCAGTTCAGAAACATCTTGATTGTGGCATCAGAATACTTTTATCTTTGAACAAAACATTCCTTTGTATGAAATTTGCAGCACAAAGCGGAACTGAAAAAAATGCATTGTTTACATTGTTACTGCCTCACAATGTGTTGAAAATATTTTACATCAGCGTAACTATTTGGTGCATGGTTATGAAATTTAGTGTAAGGGTGTATAATTATTACTAAAACTGAAAACCTCAAAATTGAAAAATGAATTTTTTCAAATAAATTTTGGGACTTAGGCCTATGTCCCCCCTTAAAGGGGCCCTGCAACAACTTTTTGACTGGTTTTTAATTTGCACCGAACCTGAGCGCACTGAACGTAGTAACTTAAAGAAACTTTTCTTTTCTCAAATTTTGCTTTATTTTAAAAGTTATAGGCAAATTAGAATTACAAAAACAAGGAAAAAATAATCTCCTTCATGACGTCGTAGGTCCTGGCTTGAGTGGCCGTGAACTAGAGGAGGAATAGTGAGCTCATCGAGCGCTCACGGCCGCCGCACTCCGTGTAGACGGCTCGAGAGGGCGCCATTGAAGCACGTGTTGGATAGGATGTATGAAGCGGGCGGCTAGGGCTGCTCGCTTTGCATTTGCTGCGCGATTAAAGACTAATTCGGCATGACACTTCATTGGCCACAAACGACAGCAAACACGTGGTGAAGATCAGTTCAGAACGGGAGCCACTTCGCGCTGCCACACCGCCAAATGGCCAAATCGCCAGCCAAGCCCGCGCCGAAAACCTTCGTAACGCTCTGAACCGGTCGGATCCTCGAGCCGGTATACGACCGCAGCGCCGCCGCGTACATCCGGGACCTTTCTACGCTCGTCGTTTGTCGGAGCCTCATCCCACTAGCCCTTTCTAGTATGCTCCGTTTTTTCCGCCGCTTGGTGGCGGGTTTGCCGATGGGTTTTTTCTTCTTTCCATACTTTATAAACTGCATTTGTTTCTTTTCTGATCTAAAGTACTGAACAAGAACTACTTTCATACTTAATTGTAGTAATTGAAACGGTTCACGACACTTATATTTTGTATCTCGACTAAAAAAAAAGTGTTTAGCGGCTCTGACCAGTAGTAAGCCCAGGACCAAATATGTCACATATTGCGCGCTTTCGGCAACACGGGTCGCCCTCGTAGGTGGAGGAGGTTTCCGCGTCGTCCGGTTAAAATATGACTCACTGATGTTTAGTTACTCTCTCCGTGCCCGCTGGCTTGCCCGAACCCTAAGAGACGTGGAAACCGCAAAAAAGGTAGACTCTTAAATATAACTGCAGGGCCCCTTTAAGTGGCAGAGTTCAGTGCATGACACAAAGTTGTATGGCTAAAAGTCGACGCCAAAAGTGACAGCGGTGTCAGGCTTGTGCTAGCTGTGTCATGTACCCCTGCCGCTGTGAGCCGAAACGTGACGCAGACATTTTGCACACAATTTACTCTGCAAATGTCCGCATCGATTGTCGCACCTCAACAAGTTCCACTGCTCACTTACGGCCAGCTGAACTAGAAAAAACATACACATAAAGAAAAGACCATTCACGCCGCTGGACTAACAACTGATTTTCTTTTTCCTCCTCTTCTACTGCAAGCCACACTTGAGGGAACAATTCTCTTTTCCTCTTTATGTGTATGTTTTTTCTAGTTCAGCTGGCCGTAAGTGAACTATGAACCAACTAGCTCAGCTCAAGCCTGTTACAAGTTCCACTGCACTGGCACTTTCCACGACGGGCGAGAAGTGCAGTAAAAATCGGCAACCACGGGCAATAGCATTGTGTACACTACCACAGCTTTTTTGTTCGTTTACAGGGAAAAGCAAGAGTGACAATCAACCTGTTGTGGACAAGGTTGAATCCACGTGCATGAATGTGGACATGCTTCAGATCAAGCTGCATGAGCTGAGATTGCAGTGCTCCAAGAGGATTGTAGAGCTCGCTCGGGTAGGTCGATCACGTTTGTGCTTGTACGCCAAGCAGGCAACTGGCAGGATTATGCAATCGCAATGTAGCTAAGATTCTGACGTAGCCAAGATTGCTTTAGGCAGGTTGACAGTGGCCTGCATAAAGCTCTACCTTTGAGCATTTCCACTGGCAAGTAAAAACGGCCATTATTGGCACTCCGCAGTCCTAAATCGTCACACTCTGTTTACGGTACTCAAGGATGCTGAAATGACATAACCGCAGATTGGTCAATGGAAACTGGAAGATAAAATGGAAGCAAACGTGATCGGATGAGAACCAGCGTATTCAGCATGGCTAATGGCAGAGCAAACATAAGGAGAGCAAAGCATGCTTAGCATTTTGATAACACGAGCCATATTTTTCTTCATCCCCAATCGATTTTTGGTTCACTCAAATGTCTCAAGAGTGAATGCACAAAGGTTCTGACAAAGCTGATGCACAATAATGGCTTGCACGTGATGGCAGTCTCTTCAAGACTCCAACAGTCTAGCAACTGCAGCCTGATTTCTGGCAACTGGGAAACTGTGCATTCCGTCTGCTATTTCGTGTTTTTTTAACATATGACAAGACTGTCCTCTTTCCCTAATGTGGTACGCCGATTTGTGTTATCACACAGCCCCACCCGTCGGCCAGACCTTTAGTATGAACAAGTCTGGACTCGTCGATGTGCTCGCACCCCCAACAGGGGAGACAGACCGTAGGATATGCCACGCTGTGTACGATGCTCGTACAAAGCCGCTGTTTAATCAACCTATAACGTTGTACAAAGTCCGAATTATTATAACTATAAACGTTTTCTTGCGTACAAGAAACCACTTAGTAGTAACGAAAATGAATTTATATAAAGAAGCAGTCTGTGACACACATTGTGTAGGCACACTCCAGTGCAAACTGGGAGATAGCGCACACCAGCTCGGAGCACGTGGAGTGGAAGCTCGCGCTGCAGAACCCAGGGATCCTGGGTTTGATCCCCAGGGCCCTTTTCGATCTGTATAAGCATGGTACCGGCGTGCGGTCGTGTATCACTACTGAGTGACGCACGTTAAAGACCCCAGTCTAGCGGTTTGTACCGCACTGGCTAAAATTGCTATCTACAGCTGGGAGGCAAGTCGCTTGTTGAGGCAGACTAAGTTCTAGGCTGTATAAATGCACGCCCCGTTTTTTTTTTTTTCCAGAACAAACTATGGTTGTCAGGTGTTGATATGCACAGAACCCCACCTTTTAGACAGTTGGACCCTAATGAATATAGAAATATTGCATAAAACCAGGGAAAATGTGCACTCAGTGTCTACCCAGGAAAAAAAAAATTCTGTAAAAAAAATCTTGATTTGGAAAAATTCCATATTTATGTCTGCCAACATTAGAGAGTATTCCCAGAAAGTTTCATTTGTTTGCACTGCTTAGTTATTATTCTTATACATTATTTTCATTTCACTGATGCTAAAGAAAAACTTAATAAAATGTATTGTTCCAGTATGAAGATATCGAGAGACTTAATTATTGCGGCTTATACATCAATATTTTATGGAGATGGTTACTATGAACTTAGATTTTGCACTTTCGTGTTCCTTTATTATAAAAAATTGTAGTTTGCAAAACTTGGTCAATGTGAAAAACAAAAAACAAATATTTTTACCTGAAAATTGCATATTTTGTGAAACTTCTTTTTATAGTAACTGGCAACAGGTATTTCAGTATGCATTCCACCAGAAAATGATGTGGTTATCAACAGCATTTCTTAACGATAGATTCATTGAGCAGATTCCATGCTTTACTTTGTTCTGGGGTCACAGGGTTGAAACTTTGCATGCCTTCCTTCTATACTCCGTTTCACCTTGTGTTGTACCGCAGCGAAAGCTAGAAGCACGAGCTCATAGCGTTTGGAGCTGCTCTTAGTGCGAGAGAGCTTGTGCTGCCGAGATGTGCCCCTGAGCAAGGAGCTCGCGCTTGTAGCCTTTCCTGCGGTACATCATAAGGTGAAACAGAGTATATAAGGCTATAAACACCATTTGCATATGTTATGCCAATTGAGTGATCTGTTCAAAATTTGGCATTCCCAAGTAGTCTACCCCCTTAAAGGGCAACTCCGCTTCATTTTTGGTTTTGAAAAAACAGTGCAGTCCTCTTCAGTATCGCCTAGCAAGAGCACACGTCAAATATTACGACGCAGTTCTGTCAATGTTTCATAAACAGTCCGGCAAACTTTGCAACTCGCCAAGGTGACTGACTTGAGCGGGCGAATTCAGGCGCAACCAACATCGCAGTCAAGGCTATGGCATGGGTGTAGCCAACATTGAGCTAAACGTCATCACCTTTGCCCCCTTTTGCTTGTTTTTACTTCCCCGGGCAAGCGTAGGGGATGACTTCAGCAACGTTTCCTCTCGGCACTCAGCGGTGTCCACGTGGTTGGCGTAACGCACCCGCGCAGCGCGCGTTTTGGGTCCGCAGTTTTTCGTGTCACAACCGGCGTCGTCGTCCCACCGTTTGTGGTTATTGTCTCTCGGAAGTTTCGTTCACACTACGGACACCACGTGCGCAGACTTATGCCGCCGTTGTGCAGACGTCGTCGAATGTTGTAGACACCAAAACGTGGTGAAGAGTGTGGTGTAGATGACACTTTTGCCTGACACACGCCCGTCCCAATTCCGCCCGTCGTTGCGTAGAGGATCACGTGACATCCCTTACCACGTGATGGCCAATGTTGCCAAACGGCCCGAGACCAATGTTGCCGCTCGTGTTTAAAATTGGATTTAAAAATAAATATCCCATTTTTCGTGAAGCAAACGATGTAGTGTCTTTTACTAGGGCATTTTAATGCAATATCACTCATTATCCCAAAATCTTCAGAATTGAGCGGAGTTGCCCTTTAAATTTGTTGTGAAAAATTAAAATCTGAATTGTCTTTTTTTTTTCCCTCAAAACACATCTATGCTCCTTTATCATTTTGTTTCGTTTGTATTTTTGCGACGAAAACTGTGCACATTCACGTCGCTTTCTCTGCTGCTTGGATGGAGTCGGAGGTTTGTCAAGCGAAATCCAAGTACATAGCTTTTTTTTTCTGCCTCCTCTCTCCAAATGAAAAAGTTTAAAATTTTAATTTATTTTTATTGCAACTGCAATACTGGTGTTTGTGAAATGAGAGAGAAGTGGCAAAAAATGCGGTTCAAGAATGCAGCTTCCCCATGGCAGATCTTCTACGACTGCGTCGAAAGGGCGGTCTCTACTCCCGAGCTCGGAGAGGGTGCACGGCAACTTCTGAGGGACTGGCGGGAGCTCAAGAACCTGGATCTGCAGTTAAAGTCAGTGGCTCTCTTATTTTTCGAGAAGTGCTACAGATATCCAAGCAGGAGCATTTTACAATAAAAAAAATGCAATGCCAGAAAAAAGACTTGTATTAGTGGCTTTGTTTTTGTGAGGACCTAATTTTCGAAAATTTCGGAATCTTAAGAGTCTTGCAACAAATAAATTGAGCGAATACCGTATTTACTCGGACAATGAACGCACTCGCGTAATGAACGCACCCCCCAGCTCGGCTCTCAAAATTTCGACTTTTTTTTCACTCGCGTAATAAACGCACCCCCAACTCGGACGTCAAAATTTTGACCCCCTCCCACGCGCGCGAAATGAACGCACTTTTCTATCCTGGTGCAGCGAGGACGCGAATGCATGGGCAGAGTGGGCGAACAAGACGCCTTGCAAAAGGCGTTAAAAAAATTCGCAAAGATCGAACGGAAGCAAGAAAAAAAACAAAGGGAAGTTTTTTGCACAGCGCAGTCTGCACTTTAGGGTTCGCGCGCCGCCGCGCGCAAGGAGGTAAGAAAGAGAAGCAGAGAAGCGCTCTAAGCGAACGAAACAGCTTGCGAAAGGCGGCAAAAAGAAAAAAAAAAGACCTACCGAACTAAGAGAAAACAAAAACAAAAAAGAGCTTTTTTTTCTTTTTTTGCTTAGCGCAGTTTGGTTACGGGGATCGCGCGCCGCGCGCAAGGAGATAAGAAAGATAGGCGGAGAGCCCTCGTCTAAGCAACGCCTAAGCAAACAAAACGGCTTGCGAAAGGCGGCAAAAAAAAAAAAAAAAAACCCAAGGAACTAAGAGAAAAAGAAAACCAACAGGAGTTTTTTTTTTTTTTTTTTTTTTTTGCACAGCTTAGTTTGGTTACGGGGTCGGGCGCCGCGCGCAAAGAGATAAGAAGTTACTTCGATTTTTCAGGATAAAAGGTCCGTTCATTAGGCGAGTAAATACGGACGCAAAAATTTTACTTCGCGTAATGAACGCCCCCCTTAACTTTGCATCGATTTTTGGAAAAAAAAAGTGCGTTCATTCTGCGAGTATATGTTACATGTTTCCTTGGTAATGAATACACACCACTCTTGAATAGTCATTTGTTAGCTCTTTGTTCAGGTTTATGTACCCTAAATACTAGCAAACGCCCCGTACAAAGCGAACGAAAGATGCTTGAGGGCGGTAAACAAACTGCAAGAAACAAGCAATATAGTGTGACCCTGAAAAAAAATTTATGTGGTTTTATTTTCATCATTAAAAATAACTATGCGTCGCCGAATTTTCAAGTCTCCACCAAAATATAGTGGTTTGAAACAGGTGTCAAAGTTTCAGAACTGTTATCTTATTCGAAAGTTGTAGTAAGTGATTTTATGAAAATAGCGATGAGAAAATGGGGCCTATTCCCGGTAGCAAACACCATTCGGTTCCATGTATTCGTGAAATTCGTTGGCCTTCATTTTCTTATTGAAAATTTGGAAAAATCGCCAATAAATTTGGAACCAGATTATGGCAAGCTTTGAAACTTTGGCATCTTGTCCGGACCACTATCAGTACATTTGGGTGGGGACCAGGCGTTCGCGATGCAAAGATACTCGATATTGCCAAGGTTGGTGATGGTCTCTCCAAGGGAGAGACCATCACCTTCAACCCTTTTTTGCCAGTTCGATCGATCTTCCTTGGAAGTTCCTTGGTTTGCGAATTGGCCTATGACGAGTCGGTCTATTCAATGAGTTGACTGTAGCACAATTAGCATAATTTTGCTATCTTAATTTTTTTTTTTTTTGCCTGAATATTTTGCATGGCCTCAAAAAGATTTTATTGTAACTGCCAGCGAGGCACATACTAACCAAGTTTCTGTTACAATTTGTGGCAAAAACTCTGGTAGCAAATTTCTGTGTGCGATACCGGCACGCAAAATGCCCAGAAGTGTATGTTGCATATTATACTTGAGAGTCGGTGGGGAAAACTGCTACTTGGCATCTAAGCCGATTTTTTGACATGGCCCCACAGGAAAGCGGTTGCGGAGGGAAGGAGCCAAATTACGACTTTGGACATGATGGAAGTGTTCGACAGAATCAGGTAGGTACAGAAACGTTTTTTCTCACATTATGTTTTTAACTTGGATATTGCAGCATTTCAAAAAATGTGCGTGCTTTTGTTCATTGAGTAGGGAATGCAAGATTACCGTAAAATACCGGGCAAGCGCCCACTCATAATTTGGAGATAATCGCAAAAAAATGGGAGATGGGCGCTTGTCCGGCATCAATTTTACATACAAATATACTGTGCATATTTTCTCAGATCTTACAAATTTGGTAATGGGCACTTAATGTGGAATGGGTAGATGCGCGGTATTCTACGATATGTATATATATTTTTTTTTTTTTCTTTGTGGTTAAACGAGATGTGGTTGTGTTAGTGTTCTCGCGTTCTTTTTTCTATATTGTTTTCCCATTTATTGCCACCCCCCCTCATGCAATGCGTCCTCAAAAGACACCCTTGAGGTAAATAAATTAGATGAAATGAAATAGCAGCTCGTTTCATCAAACAATGCTTTAGTAAGTGGCATTTGTTTAATTCACACAGAAATATAGAAGTTACTTTTCAAAAATAATTCAGCTGGTTACTTGAACTACTGTAAACCAAAGGTGCAATGCAACAATTTTAACTTCAAAAGAATTTGCACTTAAATTTTCACACCGTTTACCTTACCAAAAGGGTTGGAGGGACCGCTTCATTCTTGTAAATTATCCGAATTCCATTGCGTAATAGTAGCAAAAAAAAAAAAAAGACGGGAATATTTGAAGTTAAAGCAAGTAGGAAGGAGAGCTGGTTAAGGATAGACATAGTGACCCTGGAGCTAGGGGACAAAAAGGGACAGACAGATACGAAACTCTGAACACGGCTAAAGATTTATTTTCCAGAACGCCTCCTTAAATAGGCCCACAAACCCTCAAGAAGACACGCGCTACCCAAGGTCACACACTTGTGGCGGGTAAGAACCAAGGCAAGATAACAAAGGACCCCGACAACTGACAACAGGACACTACCTTGTAGGGACACTGGAAAGTCCCAAAAAACCCACACACCGGAATATTTCGCGGTTTGCAACTGCGGGGTGGCAGCCATGGGAACTAAGGCGTGATGCACACCTGGGTGCATTGTAATTGGATGGGAAGATGTGCTATTATTTGCTCAATCTAATGCTATACGGGGGTGAAAAAAAAGTATTCCTCCCTTGAGCCCATTGCTAGTAACGTCAGTAAAACTTCCTTACAGAAAGGCAAGCTCTTTTCTCCCCCTCTTCACATCGCTCAGACCAACCTTAAAGGTCGCCATGTGAATCCCAAGCATAGGCCGCGTGCGCTGGAGGCTCTGAAAGAGAACCCAACCGGATCTCCCCTGTTCCCATTGCGCGTTACTGCGCACGCGACTCTGAAGACAGGGTAAGAGTTGAGAGTGGTTTGGAGGTGCCCAAAACGTCGGTTGTTTGACCTTTTCTTTTCTAAGGAAGGTAGTGCACATAGGCAAAATTAGTTTTCACTTCTTTAATCCAGACGTGACAAGGAACAACTAGTAGTCCAAACATTGTTGCATGGCACCTTTAAGTTTCCAATACAGTTGTATCTTCATGGAGGTATCAAATTAGAGTTATAGTTTCTTGCAAAGTTCATGGTAGTGAGAAAATGATGCTAATGCCAAGACTAAATCTATGGGAATCGGCAAAAAATCAGCACCTGCAGTTAACAAGCACAAACTCGTGAAATGAAGGTGATGCTAAAACCAACATTAAAATATACCTGCGCTTTTCAGTGCCGCGACGTCCCTGGCAGGCAAGCTTGCAGGTCGAGCGGGCGGTCAAAGAGCTTGTACAACGATTCTAACGTTGAAAGAATTTTCAGTTTGAATTTTTTCATATACCGTAAAATACCACGGAAATGTCCAATTCGTTCAAGTGCCCACTATTAACATTTACCAAACTTGGAACTTTTGCAAATTACACGTTAAGCGCCCGATTTGACCGGACAAGTGCCCATGTCTAGATCAACCCAGTTTTCAGTGAAAGTGAAGTGGGTGCTCCCCTGGTATTTTACGGAGGTTCACCTAGGAACAAGTGACAAAAACCATGTTACCTTTCTCCGAAAAACTGCTATTCTGCTGTGTAGTCGCAAAGGAGAAAATTTATTATTTTACGATCTGCAGCCACATGTGGTGGTTACGGGAACAAGGTACGATGAACGTTGCTGTAAAGGAGTGTAAAGCAGCCGGTTGCGCTACGGTACCCAGAATGCATCTCCGACGGGTGTGTTTAGCGTCCTGTTACACCCACGCATCCAAAGAGGGCTCGAAGTGGTCACAAATGTCAAGCACTGGAATGTTGTGCTGTTCAGTGTCGCGATCCTGGCGGTTACGCGTAGAATTTCTGAAAAAGAAGTATCGGAGAGAGCGAACGTCGCCATTGTCGCGGCGTCCCAACTAGGCACAAGTGACAAGAGATCCATCACTGCTGCTGCGACTCTGCCAGGATCGCAGTCTGTAAAAACGCGACGCTCGTACGTCGTCGTCCACTTTCGAGGACGCGGTTAGCACACCAGTCGCAGATGCGTTCCAGGCGCCAGAGTCGGCCTGAAATTGACGCGTGCAAACCCGCCCTTACCGACGTGGGGCGTTTCGCAGGACGAATGCACGAAGGGAGTCGTACAGCCTGGAGGACGAGAATGCCAAGATGAAGGGAAGGCTGGCGGAGTTCGACAGTATCTGGGGAGACGACGTGCAAGAGCTCGTGGACGACTATCGTACCACTCGGGTCGAGGTCGAGGGCTACCGCGTCGCTATCGCCAAGCAGCGAGCGAGCGGTGACGCACAAGAATGCCCAGCCGACGTTGCCGGCGCTTCGCTCTGACTACGAAATGAATCTAGTGAAGCCCTACAAAGCCTGTACGCCTTTATCCCTACGAGCTTGTGCAAATTATCAAAGATTAAAGCAAAAAATGCTAGAAACCATTAAAGGGGTGATGCAACAATATAAACTTCGAAATAATTGGCAGTTTTAAAATTTTACATTGTTTATCTTACCAAAAGGAACGTTAAAACCGCCGAATTCCTTTGAAATATTGAGATTCCGTAGCGTAATAGCAAAGAAAAGAACAGAAATATTTCGCAATTCGCAGCCGCACGGTGGTGGCCACGGGAACTAAGGCGCGACTCGCAATGGGTATAATGTAATCGGTTGGCAAGATGTGCCAATATGTGCTCAATATAATGCTTTATTTGATATATATTGTTGTTTCAGCATGAGTTAATAAGTCAAAAACCTCATGTCATTGACAAAGTTGTACTATATTAGTTTTTGGTGGCGCCATCTGCACATTCCTCCCTGGAGCCTCGCCTCGTTGTATTGCTACGTCGGTCGAACTTCCTTTCAAAAAGGCAAGCTCTTTGCTCTTGCCCCCTTCCCCTCTCCATATCGCTCAGTCTCGGAGGACCAACTTTCAAGGTCACCATGTGAATCTGAAGTAGAGGCCGCGCGTGCTGAAGGCTCTGAAAGAGATCCCAACCGGATACTGTCTATCCCCATTGCGCGTCGCTGCACACGCGACTCGGAAGGCGTGAGAGTTCAGCATGGTTCAGAGGCGCCCAAAACGTCGATTATTTTACTTTTTTTTTCCCAAAGAACTAACTTGCGTAGGCAAAATTTATTTTCAGTTCGTTAAGGGGGGACATGGGTCTTTGGAGCCAAAAACTTCCTAAAACTGCATTCCCTTGAAAACGGCGATGGCTATCGTTCTTCTGAATCCACCAAGCTTCTAATTTTGTGGATGAATATTCGAGCTATAAATCAATTTATCATGTCTATGTGGGCTGAATGTGCATTAAAGTTGACTGTAAAACATTGTTTTCACATAACACAATTTTTGGACTCGTTGAAAATTTGCAAGAGGGATACATTAGCATCTACAGCAGTCAGAAATATAACCTTTGTTGAAATGTGTTGCTAAATGTGTGAAGCATACAATGTTGGGAGGAGAGTTCTTAATATAAGTCTAGAAAATTTCTTATTTGATCTTTTGTTTTATTACTTGTTAGCCATGCATTTAGCACTGAACTTCAATGTGTTGTAAAATCACTAATAATGGGTTTATCTTAACATTGTATTCTTTACACTTCGTAGTATCTGGCCATGTGTTAAAAAGGATATTTTGTTGAGCAGTTTTTTCCCTATCATTCCTCCAAAGGCAGGCAAGTTTTAATTATCTTCAGGACAATTCTACTGAATGAAGAAATTACCAGATATATGAAATCAGTACAAAAAGCTGAACAAGCTTGTGCAGTTTCATTGATTTTGGTCATAAAATAAAAAAAAAAAAGCTTCAAGACCAGTGTTCCCCCTTAATACATACGTGACAGGGAACAACTACCACAATTATTCGACCGAAGCCCAAACATTGTTGCACAGCCGCTTTAAAAACATCGAAAATAACAGTAGCCAACATGTATGTAGGTCACTCAATATTTAATATTAATAAAATTTGTTTTACCCTACCTTAAAGTGTCTAGTGTTTTCTTGAAGCCCTGGATAAAGGAATTAAACGTCCGCATTTTCTGAGTGTGTGGTCGACGTGCGAACCTGCCAGCATCATTGGCACGTTACAGGATTGCCTTTTTCCTGATGCAGAGACGATTGCTTTTATGTAATCGTGCATAGTCCATACTAATATAGGCTATGGACTTTTAAGCATAACATGAGGTGCTACAAACTCAAAATGGGGTTTAGAATTGATTTTATTTAAAAGGTCTTTGGCAAGGACGTTGCACAAGGGAAGATATGAAATACAACATTTGGAGAAAATGCAATGCAGCAAATATAAAATAAATGGAGGCAAGAATAAAAAAAAAAATGAGACTTTTACTAATCTGGTACGAAATTAGAGCGCAGCTCTTGAGGAGGAGGGGGGTATGCCCCTCCTCTTCCCCTCGTTCTCTCTCCTCCTCCCCTCTTCCTCCTCCTGCATACCCTTCCATCGTCCTCCATACCTTCCCCCCTTCCTCCATACACTCCCCTCCTAGCAGTTTCTCTGCTAAATTTAGCTGAAAAATTGACGCCACATGACCTCAACACCAATTCAGGAAGAGACATGCAAATATGCGGGGGTTCAAAGTATGAACCCTCGGACACGTCTAAAGACACTGGAATAGTTGTTGAAATCTGGGAGTGAACGAGTCAAGGACTGCATCGAGATCTGACAGAAAACAAGTCTTTAATTCAGAGATCATTGTTTAATTTTATATGACCTCCGGTAATTTTCTGCAAAGGATGTTTGCAAGTTGGGTTTCTCACGTGGCGATAGACAAACCCTCACAATTGAAGCAGGTAATTCAATACCAGATGAATGTTCTAGTCACCTATCTCAGTAATTAGCTCACAGTAAACCATGAAATAATTTTTTTTTTGTCTACCGTAAAATTTTGAGATGCCCCACCCCAAAAGATTAACCAACCCCTATTTTTGGCTTGATTAGCTATTTTCTTATAGACACCAGAAGATAGCACACTCCTAGTACATAATCATAGTGTTGGGATCAATGATGACCTCTTCGTAAATGTGACTAGTTAGCTCTGGGGGGATATAAGCAAACGCTGCTGTCTGGGAAGTGCAATCATCTTTGCTTCATTGCCCCTTGCCGTGATAAGACGTTTGGCAGGGATGCATTATCTAAAAAAGATCATTTTTCAACTTTTCTCGATTGCACACCAAAAGTCAGCAAACTCCTTATTTTCACCAAATTTTTTTTCTTGATTTTAGCTGGGCTATCTTTCGGTATATTACGGTAGATATCTTTTAAACTTGGTTACTGACGGTCACAATATACAAGACGTGCACCAGCTTCTCTCCGTGCATGAACTGTTGCAGAATATCGCTGCTTATAGGGTAAGTGTTTTCTTTTGAAGAGGTTCTCTTTTAAAAAAACGCTACCATATTTTACGGGTTATAGTCTGCAAACAATACATATTTAAAAGTTACAATTTTAGGCTGTGCGTGAAAAACAATATACAGGTATTTTGTTTTTCACGATTGTTCCTTATGACGAGACGTGACAGATTTTCTGAATGAAAGAGTATGTTAACAGTGATTTATGTATAATACGAGCTTCTTTGTGAGCTAAGAAAGCAGACATTTGTCAAGGTGTGCCGTACGAGGAGCTTGTCATATTGACTACGCACCAGGTGCGGGCTATAGCCCAGAAAATACGGTACTAACATGCAACTGCAAGCGAGATTTGAAAGCATCGCCAAATCGATACAATGACTGTGATGGCGCAAAGCTTTCGCAACATGGGCTGGCATCACGGGCACTAGATGACCAGAAATTAATGTGGTGGTGGTAAGGGTAGTATTTGCAGTATCATCAAAGTGAGACAATGACAGTGACAGCGCAAAGCTTTGGCAATATTGGGCTAATGCCGCCGGTACTAGTTAACCAGATATGAAAATGGTTATGCCGTAGTACAAAAATAAAATGGCACAAATGGCATCTCCCATTAAGATATACAAATAGACGAGTTATTTTCAGGCTCGAGCCCCGATGGGCGCAAGGGCAAACATCAGGATGTAAATATTGCCCCTCATCAATTGTAATGCTCTTCTTACATATACAGGATGTTCCAAAGAAAAAACTTTACAAGGTTTTCTTCACCGCAAAATTTAAAGAGGCATCACCGAGCGCTCAGTCTCCGCTGAGAGGTAGCGCTAGAGGTCCGAAACAGGTGCCAAGGTTTCAGCACAAACCGACATGTTATTCAAAAGTTATAAGTGATTTTCTGAAAATTTCAATAAGAAAATGGGGCCCATTTTTTCCCGTTTTCGGTTTCTGGCGGCGTAGAGCTCCACGTATTCGAGAGCTCAGTCGGCCGCCATGTTCCCATTGACATTTTTAGAAAATCGCTTCCAAGTAAAATTTTGGTTCGTGCTGAAACTTTGGCATCTAGTTTAGACCTTTAGCACTACGTTGGCACGGAGAATGAGCGTTCAACAATGCATAGTTTGTTTTTGCAATAAAAAAAACTAATTTCTTTTTGCGACACCCTGTATATTTATAGAGTGTGCCCCCCAAAAAATTTACAGTGTTTTGACTGACAATGTCCCGTATTACCATTGGCGATTATACAAAATCGTGAGCAAAGTTAGAAAGGGTAGCACTCGTAAGTAGTACTACAAAGTCTTTCTCGACCAGACATAATTTAGGAACTCGATATATTTCTTTTTTTTAAATAATAAGCTTTGCAAACATTCTTGACAGTGTGTTCGAATAAATTGACTAGCAGCTACATATCTTTGGAGAAAAAACAAATGCCAAAAGAGAAAAATATCAGTCTCGAAAATGTGCAGCCGTCTGTGTTTGCAGGCAGTTTAACGAAACGCCTTTTCACTTCCGACAAGCCTTGTTCCGCCACGTTGATGAATGGCGTCTGCCACTTTCCCTGCACAGTTTTTGGCGTCTGTGAAATGCACGAGCGTGGCGAGCGGCTCCATTCACAACAGAATTCAGTAGGTACGGCCGGGGATGTGTTTGGACCGCATAAACCCACTCTTTCCCTTTCCGAATCATTCCGGCGGCCAACGGGTCGACCTCTCGATCTCCGGCTTCTCTTATTAAGTACTAATGAAGACTCCTATATATAAAGATATATAGCACCATAAAAGAGCCAACACTCTTTTATGTTGCCGACTCCTCTGACTGGTGTACAGGTGTGTACTATTTGTACATACCTGCACAGTTATTTTTTGTTTAGATTTCGTCTAGTTATAGTTCTATCTTATTATTCTCATTCTAAAAAAAATAAGATGGGGAAACAAAACCCGGTATAATTGTATATACCTATGATATTTCCATTACTCCTTACCTTTGAAAAAAAGAAAGGGCTATCCTTCACTTAAATGATTTGAATATAGAGAGGACACCCATTTACTAAATTAATGAAAAAATTAAGAAAAACAGATTTAAATTTTACAGAAACAAAGTCAAGAACAAGGCTCAACATCCTGTTCTCATCTTGAAACTCCCCTGTTCGACAACTCCAGATAATAGTACCCAAAGAATACATGAATAAAAAAAAAAAAGTACCCTCTATGTTTTAAAAAAGAAAGCACAAACATGAATAAAAGTTGCTGATCAGGCCCCCTCCCTTAGCCAGGGTACTGCTTTAACCATCTAGTTTTCTTCTCCCCTTCAAATGGTTTTTATTTTTCAAAAATAAAAGTTTGTGAACTTGCCATCCAATTCTTTTATTTCAAATTGGCTTTAAATCTGTTGTGCCTTCTCGGGCAGTACCTAAAGGTATATTATTTTATAATTATTTTTCTTCCTCGCCCTAATTTATGGTGCAGTTGACCACGAAGCAAAAGAACTCGAGCAGGCTGGAAAACACTCTCTTCGCACATTGAAAGACGTAGGGTAAAAGTTCATCAACGTGGCGTCCGGCAAGATTTTGAACCGGAATTATGTCGCGTGAAAGTGCCCCATGGTGTGCGGCCAAGACAGCCCGCAGCAGTCTTTGGCCGAAAAGCAAGATCAGAAGTAGGGCTTGAAGCCGTGCATGAGATGGTAGGCACTGAAGCAGTCCCTGCCCCTGTTGATGCAGAGAACGGCCCTGCACTTGCGGCACTGGTGCACCGAGCGCCTCTGCAGCTTCATCATGCTGCACATGGTGCAGCGACGCTTGGTGCATGGCGTCGGCGAGTGGTCGGGGCCCCACTTTTCCGCGTAGGAGTCGCCGCACAGGCCATCTGGAAGAAAGGAGCCTCAATGGGACACTCTAGATAGGCACAGTTTGCTTCTAGTTTCCCCCGTGTTCAGAAGCAATTTCGGCTGGAATAATTTTCTTAGACTAGCACCCAGCGCATAGTCTGCACTGGTCGTTGAAACTGACAAGTCATTAGTTCCCTGACAAATATCACTCTGTGCCAACTAATAGAGAAATAGGAATGTAACTTTGTCTTTTTTTCCAAGCTCTTGCTTTAAAAAAACGAAAATGAGTGTGAACACTCTTCTCCATTTAGGAAACATTGCAACCATGGATCCTGAGAGGCTCCACGGCCACTTCTTTCCCTAGCTGTTGTAAATGACAGCCACAAGTAGTGGGCGTTAATCCACATTGTCTGCTCGGGCCCCACATCACACGCAGGGGCATCAAGAGTGCCAAGCCGCATGCCGACAGTCTCGGCTCTTCTTGCCGACTAATGCCAAGCGTGAAACTGGCGTGATCTCGACAATCGTGCCAATAACAAGCAATTTTGAAAAATAAATTTTTGTACGGTGCGCACCTTTGGATAATCGGCACAGCCTATAGACGCTTTAAACATGCACCAGATTGCAGCTGCCATTGTCAACCTTCTCTCATCTTGCCAAGATACCAAGCCACAAAAATGGGCGTTGACGAACCTCCACGAAGGCCAATACTGGGGAGGACGCTGTAGAATCTAAAATGGCAATCACCTGACTTGCTACGATAATCAAATTAAGTTAACAGAATAAGAAGAAACAAAA